CAAAAAGGAATTTTAGAGCCCAGATGTCAGGGAATTATCTCCACTCCAGAGAGACAGCCAGTAAGGTACCCAGCTATCTTTCCATCAAAGATGCCTGTCACAGTAAGCAGCTTTTGCTTGCCTAGAACTCTAATCTTGCCCCTTAAAACTGAGACTCCTAGGAGACTAGAATAGCCTCCAATTTCTTGGTGTTTAGATCAGCTTAAACAGAATAGTGAGGTTCTTGAAAAACATGATCTGCCCTTAGCAATGTCAGCAGATGTTTCTTCAGGACAAAGTTTCAGGAGTTTTATTCCCCAATAGGTAGCCAATCAACCAGTGAGGAGTGAAGGCACAGGCTTTAAAGATGCACACTTACAGTCATGAATGAAAGATTAAGCAGTTTAGAAATTAATATGACTTTCTCTGGGGTTAAAGAAAAAAAAATTTAATGACAAACATTAAACACAGTAAGGCAGACAGCATTTTGCATCTACACAGTAAGTGTAGACACCACTGCAACTGAATTTTGTAGAAAAGGAAGATAAATTAAGTCCAGTTATGAACACAAGGAAAAAGATAGATTTAGAGAAAAGGTGTAAGGTGAGGGTCAGTGGATAGAAAGTTATTAAGAGAAAACATAAGGGGCTGCAGGGATTCTGGCCAAACTAACCTAACAAGATACTGAAGGCAGGTTAGAGGGATATCTGGGAAAGGAGGAGTTTGAAAGACCTGCAAATATCTTAAATCAGATATAAAATATTAGATATCTGTGTAGGCAGATTCTAGTTAAGCTAATTTAACAAGACTCAAATTTGGAGGATTCTTGACAATCAAAGAAGCATATCCAAATATTAAATGCAAAGAGGAAACACAAAAGCCAGCTCCCTATAGGAAATGCAATTTTAGATAGGACAACAAGCATTTGGTAAGGACAAAAAAAAAAAAAAACATTCTCACTAGTCTATAGTGACCACTTCATTTTTTGCTTCAACCCCCCCCACACACACACACATACATACACACACGTGTACAAACACACAGAGATGCACACACATGCATATATGCGTAATAAAGGGAATGTATTTCATATAAGAAAACTCAAAAAAAACTAAGTGATTAAGTTTTTTAAAAAGAAGAATAACATAGGCTGGGGATATAGCTCACTGGTAAAGCACTTGATTGGCATGTATAAGGCCCTAGATTCAACTTCTGGCAACACACACGTGCACGCACGAACGCACAAACACACAACAATACTGAATTATGAATGAATTCATGGTTTACTATTTCCACTTCTGAATAGATTATAGAAGAATTGATTGAAGGATATTCACAAGGTTTTGGCCCAAGATCAATCATAAAACTCCATTCCTGGAAATGAAGAGGTGGAAATTACTTAAGTAGATGTTAATGAATTTTTTGAAAAAATGTACATAAATATCACTAAACCTTAAAAACATTAGGGAATTGGGATACATGCTACAATATTAAAAAAAACATTACACTAAGTAATATAAGTCTGTAAAAAAAAAAAGAAATTACTGTGAATCCACTTACATGAATACCTGACTAGCCAATTTCAGAGAAGCAGAAAGGAGAGGGGAAAAGGACCAGGGGAGGAGGAAACCAGGAGTTCTTGCTTAACTTATACAGATTTCCTGTGTAAAAAATAAAAATGTTCTGGATGTTGTTTGCATAAAAAATGTGTAATATATGCATGTGTAATACTACAGAATTTTATAACTTTAGAAATGGTTATAACTATATATTATATTGTGTATATTATAACTTCATTTTTAAGACAGCCCAACGTAATTTCCTTAAATTATTGATTTATTTCCTTAAATGGTTGTACCAAACCTTACAATACTCTGTGTTCTGTCTTTTCTCTTTTGTGATGGAACAAATTCTTTCCTTTACAGGAAATGGAAGACTTTGTCCAGAGCTCTGGAGAGAATGGTGTTGTGGTGTTTTCTCTGGGGTCAATGGTCAATAACATGACCGAAGAAAGGGCCAATGTGATTGCATCAGCCCTTGCCCAGATTCCACAAAAGGTTAGATAAAGTGCCCTAATGGTAGATAACTATTAAATAAGTACCTATTTAGTTATCTTAAACCTTGTAAATGTTATAATTACATATATTTTCTCTGTGAAAGATTAAATGTCATTATAGTACAAATTTATCTCAAAAACACATTTAAAACAAAAATATATACAGCAAATTCTGAAATAGCACAAAGGATATTTTTGATTAATAATACTTTGACATTAACATTGTGCTCAGAATGAAATACGTTATTCAGGTGCAGTATGAACTTGGTATCAAAAGAGTGTTACATGCAGATATACAGTAATCTCCAAATTGTGCTCTTTCATTTCCTTGTTTTACTTGCAGAACTCCTGAAGACACTGTGCACATTACAGACATCAAAAGCATGGAGTTAAATATTAGTCAGTGATTGCATCAGTGCAATAGCAATAGCAGGCAATAAAAAGTCTGAATAGCATTATACATCATCATCATCCTATATAATCCTGACCTTGATACTCCCCCTAAATGTTGGAAGGGGCCTAGTTATGATGATTTTTTTGTGCTGCTAGTTAGAGAAAGGAAGGCCAGGCTCACCAAACCTGAGTCCAAGTATCCATCAAAATAAGGAGACTTAGTTTGTCATGGTGGACATGGCACTATTATAGATTTCTCAAGAAGGAAGATATAAGAGAAAAGGTGGAGATGGAATCCTGTGAATTAGAAACTGTGACCCTACAGGACAAAAAACTAGTAACCCATGGAGAAAGTGGTTATAGTAATCTTCACATATCAAGACAAAGGTTAATATTAAACTTAGTAGATAAGAACTAGTGTAAAATACAGATTTCTAAAACAAAATGAAAGTAAATAGTAATTTTTTACACATTATGCTGTAGATCTATAATTATCAATTTCCTAAATATTTGTATTTGATATTGATAAACTCATTTGTCTAAGCTACTACTTACATGAAGCTATGATTTATATGGCTTTGATTAAATATAAAAATGAATACAGGAAAATTATGTCTCTATTTATATACCCATTTCAATAATTATTATTATTTATTGTCTCTTGATCTCATTTCTTTATCTTGCATAGGATAGGTATTTAAGTATGTGATTTCTTTCTTAATCGATTTCAAATTTTAATATCCTATAATTTGAAATTTAACTCAACTAATAAGAGGTTTGTGTTACCCTAACAGGTCATATGGAGATATGATGGCAAGAAACCACCTACCTTAGGACCCAATACTAGACTTTATAAATGGATTCCCCAGAATGACCTTCTTGGTAAGACTCAAAATAAATCTCAAAAACATGAGTAATAGCCAATTAGAAAAATAATAATTAAAGAATGTTTCAAAAATTTATTAATAAAATTTCAAAATAATCTGATGATTAAAGTTCTCTTTTTAGTCCTAGAAAGAAAGTGAATAAAGAACAACTGTGGGCATTTTATTATACAAAATCATATTGTTTTTGTTCATAGTCCAAGTATCATTATTTTATGGGTAATTACCTCTCACAAAGAATTTTTTTGTCACTTTCTGGATTGTCCATTATCTCCACTTTCTACAATTTTACACCTACCCTTTGACATACAATATTGCTATCTGAAATGCCGATAAAAAACAGCCCTCTCATGTTATTACAACTGACTCTGCATGTTCCATACACTAAAAAAAAAATCCATAATCTTTAAAAAAAATTTTATGAAAAGGATAGAATTTAATCCTTTTTTACAGGACACTGTAAAATATGAAATTTCAGGTAGTAATAGAAAACCCATTTAGAAGACAATTTTTATTCATATATACAGTTTGGAATTGTTCTAGTACAGTTTTGTTTTAAAAAGTGCTATAATAACAAACCACGTTTACAAAGAGTTTTAGCAGAAAAACAGTAAGACAAATTGATTCCAAACATTCTATACAATAAACTTTATGCCTCAGCTGTGTAGCATATAAGTTAAAAGTCCCAGGAGTGCTGTCCTGAACTTGGAAGGTACAGCCTTCAAAGGTAGTTTCTGGCACAACATTCTGATCATCTTCTTTCTCTACAGAAAAACACTTCTCAATCAAGTTTAAGATCTTAATTCTGAAGTTGTACTTCCTAATGAAGTATAGCCAATCCTACCTCTGATTTCATAACCACCAAGAACCCACTCCCTGCTACATTGAACACCCTTCATAGCATGCTCAGGGACATCATTGTTGTTTTAATTGAACACATAAATCCAGGTCCCCTCTTATGTTTGCACAGGTTGGTTGTTCTACCCAGCATGTGCTCCTTCCGTTTGTCTAGGTAGCAACCTTGTCTTCATTTTTCAGATCTCACGTAACATACCAACTCTTCCATGTAATCTTCACTTACATCACCAGAGGACACAGGTGCCTCATGCTTCAAGAAATGAAAGTGATTTCCATATGAATTCATCATTATAAGAATCTATTACCTAGAAAACAATTTATCTTTATTGCTTTACATTACATATTTGACAATTTATTTCTGACATGAATAATTTCCCTTGATTGGTTTCAATCCTAGGTCATCCAAAAACCAAAGCTTTTATAACTCATGGTGGAACCAATGGCATCTATGAGGCCATCTATCATGGGATCCCTCTGGTGGGCATTCCCTTGTTTGGGGATCAACCTGATAATGTCATGCACATGAAGGCCAAAGGAGCAGCTCTTAGATTGAATTTTATTACAATGTCAAGTATGGATTTACTCAATGCATTGAATACAGTCATTAATGAACCTTCGTAAGTATAACAATTTTTTCAGTAAAGTAATATTTATATTTAGGTAGCCTTGAAAATGAGAAAAGATTTATTCCTCTTTGAGTCTAATGTTAATAACTAAAACTATTGAACTCTTTGAAATGTGCTTTTATTCTCAACCAATCATTTTTACATTGCAAATTAACCTTACAAATTTACTTAATTAGCAGTACTAGTTATTAGTAAAATAATGTGATACTAAAAATTTTTTACTATAAAGCTAAATATAAAGAACATAGTTTTTACTAATATGACAAGAGAACAGAAGGACAATGCAGTTGAAGCAATAATATATTTCCATTTGATACCTATAATTTCCAAAACTACCAACATTTTTTTTTAAAATACTTATTTGGTATGGCAGAATAATTTGATACATGTATATAATAAGCAATGACCTAATCAGGGAAATTTTTATTTACATATTCTTCCATATTCATAATGTTTTATGCTAGGAACTGTCAAACTCTTTTCCTCTAATTCTTTATGGTATATATAAGAAATTATAAACAATAGTAAGCCTATTGTGCTAAATACCAGTAGCACTGATTCCTTCTATCTAACTGTAGCTTCTTCTGTTTTTTTCAACTTCTCTTTAGACCCCCTTGCTCCTACAATTCCTAGCCTCTAATTACTCCTTTTCAATAATGTACTTCTATTAAATCAGCTTTTTAGACTCCACATGAGAATGAGAAAATGCAGTATTTTTCTTTTGGTGCCAGTATATAGGATTTAGCATAATTACTTCCACTTCCATCCTTGTTAGTAGAAATGACAATATTTCAATCTTTTTCATGGCTGAATAAAAGCCAGGTGTGTATGTGTGTGTGTGTGTGTGTGTGTGTGTGTGTGTGGTGTGTGAGTGTGTGTGTGTGTGTGTGTGTGTGTGTTATTACCATGTTTGCTTTAGCCATCATTCAACAATGAACACCTCAGTAGATTTATACCTTGACTATTGTGAATAGTGATGCAGGTAAACATGGAAGTTCAGGGACCTCTTTGATAAACTGATTTCGTTTTCATTGTGTTAGTATACAGTAATGTGAAAGCTGAATCCTATGGTATTTCTATTTGCATTATTTGAGGAGACTCCATGTTCTTTTTTTCCATAGTGGCTATACAAATTTGCATTCCTCTCAGTGGACTATGAGAGGTACCCGCCCTCTTCTGCCTCACCAGCATCTGTTATTTTTTCGATTTTAGATTATGACCATTCTACTCAATGAGATTATCTCTCATTTTTGTTTTTGTTCTTTTTGCTGCTGATGCTCTTTTTGGCATGCTGAAGATGGGTGTTTTCCAAAATTTGAGTAAAAAACCTTGTGGGTTGATTGTTGTTTGATTTACATCTCACTCCATGATTAGTAAAGTTGAGCACTTTGTCATATACAATATCTTCTTTTGAAATCAAAATGTCTATTCTGATCATTTTCTGCTTTTTACAGCAATAATTTGGATTTTTGCTGATGAGTTTTTAGAATTCCTCACATATTCTACATATTTATCTTTTCTTACAAGTATTACCTCCCAACTGTGCATGTTTTCTGTTTACTCTCTTGGTGTTAACTTTGCAGTAGAAAACTTCTCAATTTAACATAGTCCTAATTGTCTATTTTTCCTTTTGTTGCCTGTGCTTTTGGAATCTCATCTAAAAAAAAAATAAAAGTCATTGACTATACTGATTTCTTCAAGTTTTTCCCCTCTACTGAAAATATAATTTTTTCTCCAAAATTGATTTTCACTTTAACAGATTCTATATATATATTTATGGTATATAATTTATATACCATAAATTTTTTGTTTGAGCTGTAAAAGTCAAATAATTTGGATTATGTTCACATAGTTCAGAATTCTTCTTCAAGAAATAATTTTATAATATTTTTGTTGTGCCAAAAAGAAATCTCATATATATTTCAAGTAAATCTCTCTTAACCTCCAGCTCTTTGACACAACTAATTATACATTCAGTCTCTAAAAATTAGCCTTAGATGCACATTTCATACAAATAGAACCAGACATACAATGGTAGTCAGCTGCAACTGGGTTGTTTCACTTACTATATTGTTTTTTTTAATTTTGTCCATGTTTAAACAAGTAGCACTATGTGATTTCTACTTATTGTTGAATAGTATTCTTTGGTGTGGATGGATATATAACATTTTATTTAACCATTTATTACATCATGGACATTTGGGCTTTTTTTCTAATTTCGAATATTTCTACATGGCTTGTTTTGTGTGGAAAAAGGTTTTTTTTTTTTATTTCTTTTGTATAGTGCCAAAGAGTGGCATTACTCCCTCACATGAGAACTTCATGTTAGTAATTAAATTCCATTCAGTTTGCCAAATAATTGGCAAGAATTTACATTCCTAGAAGTAGTACAGGAGAGTTCTAACTTTTCCACATCACTGCTAAAAGTTGCTATTGTCTCTCTTCTTTTTGTAATGCCAATCCTAGTGGTTATGAAGTGGCAACTAATTTTCACCTTGATTTGCACTCCACAGGTTGTTTAAATGATGAATTGTTGTTCACCTGCATACTAGATAATCATGTTGTTTCTCTGTACAAATAATTATCCAAGTCTTTAAATCCTTTGTTAATTAGGTTACTTGTCTTAATATTGAACTGTCAGTAGTTTTTATTATGGAGATGCATTTATATTGAGATATTTGATTTGTATGTGTTTTCTTCTATTCTGAATGGATGAGTTCATCATTTTTATAATGGTGTACTTTGGAAGGCAAAGAATTTTAATTTTTATAAAATATCTTTTATAATCAAATTTTCTCTTGATACAACAAAAATTGTTCTGCAAAATGTGTAGTGCTTACATTTCTACCATCAAGTCAGCATTGATGGTAGACTACCAATACTCATTATTTACAGAGGGAATTATTTACCTATTGGAATACTTTGACAATGGATTACCCAAAAAAAAAATTGATACAATTTTGAATGCTAAAATACTTTAAAATTAGATGAGAAGGAATAAAAAAAAACATAATGCAATTAGGAAAAGTGGTAAAGAAAATATGAAATCAGTTGGTAGATTTATATAGTAATATATCAATATCTATCATAATATTAACTATATCATTAAAATATAATCAAATTGGATTTTAAAAACCCATCATATACTCTTTTCTGAGATATGTTTAACTTAATTACATAGAAATTCTATGAGTAAAGAGATAAAAGATTTTTAGTGTCAATCAAGGTGTTGCAGCTGGGCATGGTGGTGCAAGCCTGTAACTCAGCAATTTCTGAAGCAGAGACATGATTGTGAGCTTAAGGCAAGCCTCAGCAACTTAAAGAAACCCAATCTCAAAGTAAAATATAAAAAGGATTAGAGTAGTGGATGGCCCCTGAGTTCAATCATCACTAAAAAAATAAATAAATAAGCTGTTGTAGCTATACTGTTGTCAGAGAGAATAGACAAAACTAAATATGAAAAGAATATTTCTTCATTTAGAAGTTATTCAATATAAAATAGACCTATTAATGAAATTTTACATAAAAATATAAAATGTAAATGCACAGGTCTATAGTCATAATGCAACATTTTTAAAAAATTTATTGATAACAGAAAATGATGGAAAATAATATTCATATTTGAAGAACCTGATATATTTGGGTATGCCATAAAACTGCCCAGAAATGACTTGAATCTAAAAAATATATTTTCCAGTCATATTGGAATGAAATTAGAAAAAAATTAAAGAAAAAATGAACGACAAAATAAATAAATAAAAAATTAACTAAAAACCCTCTAGGTTTTGAAAAGTAAGTAATATATGTCTAAGTAACTTAGATTCCAAAAAGAAATCACAATTATACTTGAATTTTTGTATCACCAATAACACTCCCAGGCATATAAGCAACAGAACTATATGAATATTTAAAATAATATGTATATTAATTAATATTGTCAAAATGGCCATACTACGAAAAGCATTATACAGATTTAATGCAATTCCTATTAAAATTCCAATGACATTCTTCATAGAAATATAAAAACCAATCATAAAATTTATTTGGAAAAATGAAAGATCCAGAATAGCCAAACCAATCTTTAGCAAGAAGAGTGAAGCAGGAGGAATCCCAATTCCACACCTTAAACTATACTACAAGGCTATAGTAACAAAAAAGGCAGGATATTGGAACCAGAATTGACATGTAGACGAATGGTACAGATAGAAGACACAGAGACAACCCCACATAAACACAGTTATCTCACTCTAGACAAAGGTGCCAAAAACATAGGAAAATAGATAGCCTCTCCAACAAATGGTGCTAGGAAAACAGGAAATATATATGCAGTAAACTAAAATTAAACCCCTCTCACCATGCACAAAACTCAACTCAAAGTGGATCAAGTACCTCAGAATTAGACCAGAGACCATATGTCTAATAATAGAAAATGTAGGCCCAAATCATCATGTCAGATTAGGCCCTGACTTCTTAACAAATCTCCTAAAGTGCAAGAAATAAAATCAAGAACCAATAAATAGTATGGATTCAAATGGAAAATCTTCTTCCATTTGAATGCATACTATTCACATACATTAATTGTGAAAAGACACAATTAAAAAGTGAAGAGAGAGCCTATATTTTGGGAGCACATTTTTGCCACACTCAAGACAGATAAAGCACCAATCTCCAGGATATATAAAGAGCTCAAAAAACTTAACACCAACAAACAAACAAACAACCCAATCAATAAATGGGCTAGGGAGCTGAACAGACACTTCTCAGAAGAAGATATACAATTGATCAAGAAATACATAAAAAATGTTCAAAATATCTAGGAATTAGATAAATGCAAATCAAAACTATTCTAAGACTTAATCTTATGCCAGTCAGAATGGCAGTTATCAAGAACACAAGCAACAGTAAGTATTGGCAAGGATGTAAGGGAAAAGGCACACTCATACATTTCTGGTGGGATTGCAAATTTGTGCAACCATTCTGGGAAGCACTATGGAGATTCCTTGGAAAACTTGAAGTGGAACCACCATTTGACTCAGCTATCCCCTTCATTGGTCTATACCCAAAGGACTTAAAAATAGCATACTACAGTGATGAAGCCACTTCAACATATATAGCAGCACAATTCACAATAACCAAACTGTGGAAACACCTAGATGCCCTTCAATAGATGAATGGATAACAGAACTGTGGAATATTATACACAATGGAATATTACTTACCATTAAAAGATTGAAATTTTGGGATTGGCAGGTAAATGGATGGAGTTTGAGAAATCATGATAAGCAAAATAAACAAATTCCAAAAAAACAGGGACTGAAAGTTTTCTCTGATAATGATTGCTAATGCAAAATGGATGGGGCATGGGATGACTGCAAGAATTTGAGATGGGGCAAAGGAGATGAGACATAAAGAATGGGTGCAGAAAAGTTGGTGGACAGAGATACACATTGGGGGCTTCAGGAGAAAACTGAAAACTGAAAAAAAATGTGTCTGTAACATAATATGAACAGGAAGAATGATAGGAGAGAACATTTCCAGTATATGACCTTCTGTGGTCCAGTACTGATAGACCCAGCCTGATTTTCTCTTAAAATTGGGAGCCATCTCACCACAAAGCCATGAAAAGATGATTTTGGCTTTACTATAAATTACTACAAATTCTGAACTAGCTTGGAATGCCTGCCTTGAACTCACCCATTCCTGGCTCTCTAGGACCAGATAGCAGCCCTCTCTGAAATTTCAGTGACACCTCATAAATCTTGGCCTTCCCTGGCCAGATAAGAACCCTCTCTGAGGCTCTAATGACCTTCATAAATTCTGATGTCAGGGCCAGCAAAAATGTAAACTAGCCTTTGTGTTATGCTCCTCAGAGTTTTCTTATCTGTAACCCCCCTTTGTGTAACTTTCTGGGCTATAAAGCTGGGATGCAAGAAAGCTGTGGGGCTGTCTTGTTTCCATGGTTTTTGGTGGGAGAGGCAGCCTGGCTGGTCAAAATAATAAGCTTGCTTTAATTTGATTTTAATTGGAGTCAGTGGTCTTTTCTTGTCTCCTGGTCTAACAGTAGTCCAAGGAGTATATCTGGATTTCATTCTAAATATGATTATGAGTGAAAATCTTTGAGCCAGTGTTATAATCTGACATGGATACTAGGTAGAAATTAGACAGTAGAGAGCAATAAAGAAGATTAAAAACAGAGAGACTGATTAAAAGTCATTTCGCCCACTATGACAATTTCTCTTCAAAGACTTCAAGATGATCATTTCAATTACAATTAACTATCTCATTTATAGTGCTTAGAATGGCTTATTATCATTTTATCTGAAGCTATCAACCTTCATATTCTCTTTGGAAAATATTTGCCCATAAGAAAATCCCAAATTAAAATGTCAACTTTCTATGATGACCTAACATCTTTACCAACAACAAAAGTCTATGGATATTCTTTGAATTTCTGTGTAGTACTGAGAATTGAACTCAGGTGCATTGTTCATGATAGGCAAATGTTCTACCACTGAGCTACATCCTCAACCCACTTTGTTGAATTTTGAGACAATGTCTTGCTAAGTTGCCCAGACTTAGCTTTGAACTTATTATTCTGCTTCAGCCCCCCAAGTAGCAGGAATCCAGGCTTATGTCACCAACCTGGCTCTTCTGTGGCTACCTAAGGCACTTGTTAGATTCAGTTTTATGAACATTTCTAAAAACCTTACATAGACTTAATATACTTATGCAAATTAAGTTGTTTTAAATGTTGGTGTCTTATGGTTTGTCCTTTAGATATAAAGAGAATGCTATGAGGCTATCAAGAATTCACCATGAACAGCCAGTGAAGCCTCTGGACCGAGCTGTCTTCTGGATTGAGTTTGTCATGCACCACAAAGGAGCTAAACACCTCCGGGTTGCTGCCCATGACCTCTCCTGGTTCCAGTACTACTCTTTGGATGTGCTTGGGTTCCTACTGGCCTGTGTGGCAACTGTGATATTTATCATCACCAAATGCTGTCTGTTTTGTTGCCAGAAGTTTACTAAACCAAGAAATAAGAAGAAAAGGGCATAGTTTTATCTAGACCCAAAGCTGGGAGTCCTGACAGATGGACCTCCTCCAGTTCAATTTCACAAGAAGAGATTGTGAACCAGGCTCCTTCTTCTCCTAACAAAATCACTTTTCAAAACTCATCTCATCAAGACACAGCCCAGTTTTCCAAAATATGCTGCTTGTTTAAGAGTTAGAACTATTTCAGGACAAAGGGAGGTGGGAAAAATAATAATAATAAAATGATATAAGTGTCTATTGAAAATTACAGGTGGAATTTACAAATGGCACAGTATTAATTTACCAAGCTGGCCTGTGGTTCATAACTTATTCATGGATACAAGAACTTTCAAAAGTATATTCATAGTGTCAACATAGATTTGCAAATACTCTGCATGATTTAATTTCACATGGGTGTAGAGTTTTGTAGTGTTAACTTCTTCTGAATAAGGTATTCAATTCTTAAAATTGTGTGTCAAGATTCACCCTTCTCTTTTGTTTTGGGAGACTGGTAGTGCTGGCTTGTACATCCAGCCTTACCATCATTTCTCTTCAGGATCTGATAAGACTTTTATCTTCTTCTTGCTGAAGTCATTTCCAAGAAAAGTATGTCAAAAAAGAAATATACAGTTTCCTACCTACACATTTATTCTGTTTTCTTTTAACCACATAAAAGTAATGATCTGGTTTCACTGATTCTCATATTCAGTCTATGGAAATAGATGTAAGATATCAATTATAAGTTATGATAATATAGAACTGGTAGTAGAATTAGTAAAAATACTTATTGCTTTTTCATTTCTTCCCAATGTTTTTCCAAAACAAGACTCAGGATACAAGTCCATTATGAGATACTTGATTTGCGAATATTTTTTTATTGCAGAATGAAAGACTCACCTACTATGAATACACAGATTAATTTCTTCATATTGCACTTTGAATCATGTAAATATTTAATTTCAGTTAAATAGTTCTTTAATTACCAAGATTTCCCTAATTCTAATGGAAGTGACAATGTTAAGTACATTGTGCCATATATATCTATATTCAAGTCAACATTCATTACAACTATTACACTAATCTTACTGTATAAGAAAGTCATCTCCTAAAGGAACACTTTAACAATGCATGAACAAAAAATAGTAATAAATTTCAGTGGAAAAGTACTTTAAAATTCAAGAAAACAATAGAATGGAAATATAATTCAGGTGAGAAAAATAGTAAGTGAATATAAAATAAAATGGTGAATTCAGCTGTGAAGATATTAAAATTTACATTAAGTATAAAAACTGAAATTACTATCAGACAAAGAATGTAAGAGCATATTTTTTAAAACTAATCTACCCTGTTTATAAGACATGCTGAATTTAAGTATAGAGGAAGACTGTAAGTGAAAAAGTAAGAAAAGTCCTACTGAACCATAACAAAAATAAGCAATTTTACCTCCAATAATATTACCATTATTTTCCAAATAACAACTAAAATTAAATATTAATATTTTTACAATATTATTTGAAGTCATTTTAAAGTATACCTTCTCAATTTTATGTACCTACTAAATAAACTTCAAAGTAAATAAGTCTAAATGAACAAAAAAAAGAATACACAGAATCTATTGACATAATAAAATGATATTTAATACCTTTACAATAAGACATAAATTATTTTGAAATTAATAAATATGGGCTAGAATTATAGCTCAGTGGTATAGTGCTTGCCTCGCATGCATGAGACCCTGGGTTCAATCCTCAGCATCACATAAAAATAAATTTTAAAATAATATAAAAAATTGATACATATAAGTGCACATTAGACTGATAGAATGTAATAAATGTAACCTAAGTAATGATTTTTTTATGACAAGAAAACAGTAGATTTGAAAAGGAAGAAGTCATAAATAATGTATTGTGCAGATACAAAGGATTTAAGTGAGTAAACAAATAAAAAATATTTAACTAAAATAATCTCGTCTGGATATTAATCTAAATACATGAGGATCCATGTGGAAACTTGAGTCACACTAGTATCAAAAGCTGACATGTGTTTAATCAAAAATGATCTTTGTGGCAAAAGGTAGAATAGAAGAGAAGAAATATAATTGTTAAACGTCATTTCACCCACACTGACAAAATGCCTCTTCAAAAATGTCAAGATGATCATTTTCAAATACCATTTAACAATTTCACTTACTATTCTGAGAATGGTTTACTATGACTTGGTCTCTAGAAAAGATTAAGCTTCCCACTTGACATTCCATTTTAACTTTGGAAATATTTATGCACCAGAAATCTCCAACTGAAAGAGATTATACTACTTTGATTTCACTCTTTTCAAGCACAATTTTTGTTTTATTACATTTGAACTTGAAATGGAAGTAAAGAAACAAATAAACCTCCAACTTAGAAGCCAAGTTGTCCAGGACAACAGTTCAAAGAACAATACTTTTAAGGCTGTTCTATGGCACTTATTTGACCCACTTTTGTAAATTCAAAGAACATTTTAGAGACTTGAAAATTTCAACCAATTAACTGGCTTTAAAAATTGGTGTTTTATGATTTTCCTTTAGAGATAAAGAGAATGCTGTAAGATTATCAATAATTCATCATAAACATCCAGTTGACCTATCATCTGGATCAAGTTTGTCATGTGCCACGAAGAAATTAAACACCTTTGGTTGTTGCTCATGACCTCTCCTGGTTCCAGTACTACTCTTTAGATGTGGTTGTGTTTCTGCTGGCCTGTGTGGCAAATGTGATATTCATCATCACTAAATGCTGTCTGTTTTGTTGCCAAAAGTTTGCTAAACCAGGAAAGAAGCAAAAAAAGGAGAATTTTATTCAGCCTGAACCTGGGAGTCCTAACAGATGGACTTCTTCTAGTATATTCCAGCAAAAAGCTGTTACAATGCTAGACTCCCTACTGTTGTGAGAAATTTTCACAACCTACCATAATTAACTCAAAGTTTCTTTTCCAGAATTTTGATTCCTGGTTAAGGAGTATAAATATTTCAGGTGAAAGAAAAATCAAACTCTGGAAAAGAAAAAACTATATGAACCTATGTAGAAACTTAATAGTGTAATTTATTCTTCATACCCATAAACCTATTGAGCTTAATTATAATTATTCTTTGTAATAAGACTAGTAAGGATTTATTCAGAGTACCAATATGGTTTCTCAAATTGTTGGCCTACTTTAACTTAATTTTAGTTCAGAATTTTGTACATTTAACTTTCTTAAAGAAAAAACTCAATAATTTCAATTGTGTAAAAAGACTAAATCCTTCTATTGGATTTCAGAAACTAGTATTTCTGCTGTATTTTACTATAAACCCAGCCTCAGCATCACTTCTCTCCTGAGCATATGAAAGTATGTTTGCCTAGTTTCAGCTAAGTCACTTCCCAATAGAATGTGTATGGAGTTAGAAACATAATGATTTTTATCTGTTTCTACAGTTGAGCAATAGAAGAAAATATTTGGTTTCATTAGCTCATTATTATTTACTCTTAATCCTTCAAATGAATTCAACTGGTTGCCCACTCTCATAATCATACTTTGGACATAGATACTAGGTCTCAATTATAGGTTGTGTTAATACAGAACAGGAACAGGAAAGAAATTTGCTCTCACCTCAAATAGGGCACAATGCTACCTACATTTGTTACAGTTATATTGTGAAATGTACTAAGTTTTGTAGACAGTTTGCAATTATGTTTACTGTTCTATAATTTGTAATTATGAGGAGCTTGTCTAATTTTTCTCTCTTTTCTCAGTAGCTAATTGCCTCATCCCACCCATAACTCTAATAAGGGATCTAAATAATTTGGAATGACTGAAAATAAAATCTTCATACTTTTCCTTCAAACCTCAGCTTGTTATCTATTATAATAATTACTAACACTGAAAGCAATATAAAATTATATAAATTGTGTGGAAAATAGATAAATAAAACCACAAGTAGTCCAAAGGCTATCCTTTAAGGAAAATATCATAGAACATTTTTATGATCAAAGTGGACCAAAACTGAGGAATAGTTATTTTTTTTTTAAGTCAGCTTTTTCACTGGCTCATTTCTTCTGTGCTCCAGGTGAGGCAGAACATCCTGCTGGGAGAGTGTGCTTGAAGGAAGTAGCTCACATCATGACCAGGACACAGAGAGAGAGAGAGAGAGACTCCACTTGCTACATATAAAATATATACCCCAAAGCCAGACCACCATTATCTGCCACCTAGAGATAAATACCACCTGCCTTCAATTACATTTCAATGAATCCCATCAGGTCATTATTTCACTGATTGGCTTAAGTATCTCACAGCCCAATCATTTCCATATATTATATAACAATTATTTGAAATGCCACCAGAATAAGCTTATCCAGGGAGAGAGGAAATTGATTACAGTTTATCTAGGAAGGAGGGACATGGATTGGTCAGAGGTACTGGGAGAGTTTGGATTGTTAAATGCCTCAACATTGAATGTTAACTGAGGTTTACAATTCTGAGATTCTACTCTGAAATTAAACAATTGAAGTGTATACTTAAAAATGGTGAGTTTCATCCTATGTGAATTATAGGCAAACAAAGATTTTACTTTAAAAACAATCTGTTAAACAATGATCTATAAGAAATGTTGATTCAACTATGTATTTACTTTAGTTCCAGCCAAGGAATCTATAGGAACAAGTCATCTCACTTGCAACCATTCCTCATACTATTCTAAAACTTTTAACATAAGATAGGTGTATTGCACATGCAGGATAATCCATTCTTAACTGCAGGAGAGCATGTATAACCATGAAAGATTCATTACACATACACTAGCAGGAAGTCACCTAATGATTTTTCAAAGTCACCTTTGATTTTTCTACTTGGCATCCAGGTATACTAAATGTTCACTTATGTATTTACTTTTATGCGTACAAGTTACTTTTTAAACAAATAATGATTTTTTCTTGGATATTTGCAAGAGCAGAGGGAATTCAATGTGAAATGAAACCTTGTATTCACCAGGATGTCTATGAAAATGACTGTAGTTCTGCTCCTGTTACAGCTGTTACACTTTGGTTCTGGAGGTTGTGGAAAGGTGCTGGTTTGGGCAATGGAATACAGCCATTGGATCAATAGGAAGACAATACTGGAGGCGCTCACACAGCATGAGGTGACTGTTTTGAGACATTCAGGTTCCATTTTTGTGGGTGAAGACAAATAATCTGCCATTAAGTTTGAGAATTATGCTTCATCATTTTCAAGAGAATATATAGAGAGTTTTTACACTCAATCACTTGGTATAATTATTTATGAAACGGTGAAAAATACATTTTGGAAATATTCAAGATTTCAAAATATTATGGGTTAGTTTTCTGATTAAGTAGAGACTATATGTAGAGATGCAGTTTTGAACAAGAAACTTATGGCAAAACTACAAGAATCAAGGTTTGATGTCATTCTTTCAGATGCCATTTGTCCCTGTGGTGAGCTGCTGGCTGAAACTCTTCAAAAACCATTTGTTTACAGTCTCTGCTTATCGCCTGGTTACAAAATTAAAAAGTATAGTAGGGTATTACTTTTTTCTCATTCCTATATGCCTGTTATATTTTCAGGATTAAGCAATCAAATTACATTTGTTGAGTGGGTAAAATATATG